TATATATATATATATATATATATAATATGTTGAGTTGTTGGTTACACCGCACTGAATATTTTTTTTTATCTTTTTCTTGGGATTTCATGCTTCATATCTTTGCATGAACCTCAATGAGTGCATTTTTGGCGGTGTGTATTATTGAGGGTTTAAAAAAAAAATTCATATTCTTTTGCATCATTATTTTTCATATAACATATAAATACAATATTACACGTAGAATCCAGGCAAAGTGGACAGAAACGTGGTCCATCACTATTCAAGAATCATAATGCCAGGTACTTAGATACTATTTTACATATGCATAGGACAACGTACGTCAAATTACAAGCAAACTACAACTATATACTATATGTAATAAAATACCACCAAAAAGAAGACAAGTGATTCCATTTTCTTGTAAGGGAAATGGTTGATGTCCTTTGGCTAATTATATACTATGGTAAATTGGTTCATAAGTGGAGCTTAGAGGTTTGTAGCTTTTGTCTAAACTTTATATTTATATTATAAAATTAACTTAATGTTTAGAGATATTTGGTTGTGAATTCAGATGTTACTATAGAATTAAGTCGAGATTGTTATAGAAATTCATAAATTTCAAATTCTGAATCCGCTTCTTATGCGGGAGTTACACTTTACACCCCTTTGGCTGAAAGTTCAGCACCACGATTTAGGGGTTACCAAAATTTCCTAAGGTAATTATGTGTTGTTTTTTATTTTAAAACAACTAAAATGATGCATGCTTTATTTATTATTATGTATCTCGTCATAACTATATTTGATTTCGCTGATAAAATTTACTTTGTAGATTCTTTTTCATGTGTTTATTGTTTATATTTTGGTATACATCCCATGATGCAAATTTTGACCTCGTTATAAAATTGTTGTGTCTCGAATTTGAATTTTAGTGATTTTTTGTGTTCATTCAATCTCTCCCAAATATTGCTAGAAATCTAACAATTTTGCTTTCTTATTATTCATGTTTTTATTTTCTTTTTTTGGTAATATTAATGGATGTCGATGTCAACTGTTTTAACACATGTTTATTATACTGAAGAGGGAATTAGAGACAAATTTAAGGAATCATATTTATGAGGATAACAATTTAAAGCTAACTTAGTTCAAAAAAGATTATCAAAATAATACGCCATTGGTCATAGAGTTAGAACTTCCTTATGGATCGTCCAAATTCAATAGTTTGGTCCAAATTGTATATTTATTTTAAAGTATTTATTAAATAAATTTAAATTATTAATTTGAATTTCAAATCTATAAATTTCAAATTTTAATTTCGCGTGTGTATCACCTTTTTATAACATTATGTTAAAGAACTGATGTGCAAATTTATCTTAAATTTAAATAGCTTTGATTATCATACGTCAAATCGGTTATTTTCCGGTTTAACCTCGCAAGGGATAATTATATAAACATTAGCGTTAAAAAGGTGTTTTTTTTTAAAAAAAAAAACACTTATTTGAAAAAGGTCAAAATGAATTCTAAATATTCTTCGCCAAAAAATTAGGATTAAGAATAATTTCAATTCAAACTCTAAAAATTTCAAATAAAGTAAAAATTATTTAACAAAATTAGAAAAAAAAAGTAATCAGAAACTTTATAACTATGGTGACGATGCAACTCCATCAAAATTATTTAATTTAAATTATAGTCAGAAACTTTTTTTTCTAATTTTGTTAACTTTTGAAAATGAGTAGTCCGAATCTAACTGTAGCATGTTACGTATTAGATAATTAAGAGTGTGAATAGTAGGTAGATACCACATTTTTTTGTCAAAATTGGATTTACTGAAATTGGGATTTTAATATTGTGATATCTTGATGCATATTACAAATTTTTGGTATTTGATAAATTATTTGTTATCAGTGAAAAGATATTTATTGAAATTATGAATATCGTATTATCAAATATCAAAAATTTGTTAATATTTGAGAGGTCTGTCCATTTTATTTTGATTGAAATATATTTGTGTGTTATTTATTAATAACGAATGAATATTTGTATATACACAAAGTTCATTATTAATACGACACACGTCTTAAGAAAACAATAAATAATAAGACTAGTATAAACATACTACCCTTTGGATAAATTTAATTTAATACTTTGA